TGCAAAGACGGCTTTCCCGAAGCCCTTCTGGTTCAGGAAACATGAGGCAGGCAGGCATGTATATACTGAGTGAGGAGGACTTCGTATGGAGTATGGGGGCTGCCCTTTCTAGAAGGTGGTTCATACTGGGGCAGCCTTTAGAGCATGGGGCAAAATAGGAGATGGAGTGGTGAGAGTAGGGGTGTGCTTGGTGGGAGAGTAGCCAAGGTACAGCCAGATTGTACACTGCTAAGCACCCTGAATGCCTGGCCAAGGCCCTAGAAAAGGAGTGTGGTGAGGATGGTCCCTTGGGTCATCTGGAGGTGGGGAGAGGCAGGCAGGAGCTGTTGTTGGTGGAAGCTGCTGAGATGGAGCAGGGAAAGAGGGGCTGGATGGCAGACAGTGTGAGAGGCAGAGCAGTATGGCAATGGACAGACAGGAAGACTGAATTGAGGAGGCCAAGAGGGACAGAAGGGAAGGACCTGGCCCAAAGCTGGGTGACTCAATGGCTGCTATTGTAGGAATCAGTCATGCCTCTGAGGGGAACAGGATAGGCAGGAGACAGCTCCCTTCTGCAGCCACTGCTCAAGATGATAGGCAGCACTCCACCAACCACAGCAGCTGTCCTGAGTTTCCTGTTCAGCTCATTGTCTCCAGTCTGGGGCAGATCCCTGCCCAGAACAGCAAGAGGCTAAAACTGCTGGCTCCATTTGGCAAACCCAAGTGCTGTGGGAGAAGCTAATGCAGAAGGATGATGATAAAGAAGATGAAGGCAGAATCCAGGCTGACTTCAGATCAGATTCCTAGCGGTGTGGAGGGGACTCGGGATCTGCATGGATAAAAGGCCATGCAGGGCTTGCAGTCCTCAGCCCCTTGGGAATTTAGAACCCCATAGGCAGTTCTGGAAATGCACTACTGTGGGCTTGTATATTTTCCCAGTGTCTTAATGGTGGTGATCTGGATGATACAGCTAGGAGGTATAAGGGGACATGCTGGGTGGGTGGGGGAGGCTTTCCTCCATCCATGTCTAGGCATGTGCACATTCTAAAGGGATGGTCCTGAGGACTGTGAGCCACACTCACCCTGGATGTACACAGAGAGCCTAAGGGGGGGGAGTGTCCCTCCTCCCTTTTACCAATGGGAAATAGGGTTCAGAGGCTCTTGATCATGTCCCAGGTCACACCCAGTTCCTTCAACTCCTCAGCATCTCATTTCTAGGGCCTCTTAAGTATACCAGTTGAGCCCTGGGGATCTGGTTGGACAGGATGCCTAGGGGAGGGGACCCCCATAAGCCCGAGTCCCACCAAGAAGCCCTCTTGTCAAGGCCAAATGGCCTGGCTAAGGAGTGTGCAGATGCAGGAAAAGGCAGACAGAGGCAGGGTGGTGATGTGTGCCTTTGATCCTTACACTCAGAAGGAAGCAGCCTGGGCCATAGTGAGACCCTGTCTAAACTCAGTGACCCTGGCCATATGACAATCATGCTCCTTCCAAGGCACCCCTGTAGGTGACTAAAGTTTTGTATTTTATTTCTTTTACCAAAAAGGGAGTATGACAGCCTATCTCCACATGGGAATAGACTGAACACCTGAGCCCCCAGCTCCTTCTGCAGTTTTGACACCATCAGTCCTCAGAATGCCTCTCAGCATCTTTTGGTAGCCATATTATATGGGACATGTCAGACACCACCTGCTGTCCTCTCTCAGCCAGGCACTGGGCAGGGGACATTTCCCAGCTGTCCTTGGATGCCCATACCTGTTCCAAGCAGTTGCTGCTCCTCAGGTCTTGGTTGTATGCACAGCTCTAGCAGGGTCCTGTACTGTGTGTCAGACTGGACAGGAGTGAAGATGGTAACTGCAGCCTTCTTCCCACTTTCCCAAGGACTGGAGAAGGATATGTCAAGGACACAGTGAGGATGGTGGTGCAGAGGAGCTTGGTCAGCTGTAGTCCCAGCTGACCTGCACAGCCTTTTTTTTTTTTTTTCCCTGCAGTGAAGGGGTTGCTTGCACCAAGCTGGGATCAGGACACTCTAGGCTGTACTCTAGAGGGTTCTTGGAAGTCTCATCTTTTCTCTTTATCATCTTTAGCCACATCCTGGCTTCTGAGCTGTCCGGCACTGAGTCTCGTTACAACAAGAGCAGCCAGGCTGTGTGGCACATTAGCCCCATTTTAAAGATAGGGTGACTGAGGCTCCAAAAAGAGCACTTGGGAGCTCAGCTGGAGCTGTGCCTGGCCCTAAAGCTTGGCTTTGTCTGTAGCACTCCGCTTCAGCCAGTGCTACTCCTGGAGGTGCTGCAGCAAGGGCAGGACCAGCAGTAAGCACCCTCTACAGCTTTGTGGCCTTTTCTGAACTAGCTCTCAACCCTTAGGCATTTCTAAGCTTTATACTTCAAGATCTAGTGAGCGGCTATGGAGACCCCAATCTCCTCAGACAAGGGCTGATCCTTTACATCGTTAGCTACCAGTGTCGAAGACACTTCTGAGGAGAGGCACAAGGGATGGCAGCCCAGAAAAGAAGATGGCCTCTAGGCTGGAGCCACCTGTTTATATGTTCACAGGCTCCCGAGTGCTCACTGGGCCCTGTGCTGTTGCCATTCTCATCTTACCAGTCATCACCTTCCTACACCCCATGGTGATAATCCACAAGCCCTGCATGCTGGCAGTTCTACCAGGATTCTTTATATACCACCCTCTCCCCGAGTTGACCTTGCTGAGTGACCAGCAGGACTCAGTTAATCAGCACCTGTGGCGTAGGCCCTGGTGCCCGTTGCAGCACAGCCAATCTTCTAGATAGCTATGCCTTAGAAGGGTAGGCCATTCATCTGCCCATTGTTAGTGTTTATTTAGTGTCTATTTCTGCAAGCTCAGGGAAGATGCTTAAGCACTATTTGGGGGGGGTGATATTCACTGTAGACACATGTTGGTACCCCCTTTATCTACCACCATCTCCATGGCCTTCTGTCTTACAGAACACCCAGTGCATTCCAGAAGGCTTGGAGAGCTACTATACGGAGCAAGACTCCAGTGCCCGGGAGAAATTTTACACTGTCATAAACCACTACAACCTGGCCAAGCAGAGCATCACGCGCTCCGTGTCGCCGTGGATGTCAGTTCTGTCAGAAGAAAAGCTGTCAGAACAGGAGACCGAAGCTGCGGAGAAGTCAGCTTAGCGAGCTGGGCGGGTTCCTTACAATGTGTCACTTGAAGGCAACAAAGGGACTTTGAGGGACATTTCATTAAATATAATTATTGATAATTTAGAGGTTACTCATTACGGTGCAATTGCTTCTGTTTGCTAATGCTGCTTTGCAAATAAAACTTGCTGCGGACCACCCACAGGCATAAAAACAAGTGCATCTCAGCATTGCTTAGAGAGCTTGATGCCACTGTCCATGCTGAGGAGTGTTCATTTAACTCCTTCACTGGGATTCACTGGATGCTGTCAAAAGATAATGTACACTGGATATGCCAGGGGTCTGGCCATCAGAGCAGTGCAATTGGTGGTTTCCTTTTTTCTTTTATGCCCCCTTGCTATCTGCAGACCTTACTCCATAGCCATATCTAGAGCGATCCTATGCTTTGCTGGCAGCAGTGCTAACTGCCAAGATGCACTGTTAAGTGGCACAGAGAAGGGAAAGTGTGTGCCACGATGCAGCCCTGCCAGCCCCTGCCTGGGCAATTCTGGGAGGTCCTCTTTGGTGTGTGCACTGATCAGAGCACAAGGATAGGGTGGGGAGGAGCTGGCGTTGAGCCAGGGGGTGCAGAGCTTGTTTTCCTGTGGGTGGGCTGTCTGCTGGTGATGTGCTAGATAGGAAGAAACCCCACTGGCCCTTTTCTTTCCTGTTATGAATATGTTTGCACGTACAGCCCTGTATGCAGGTGCGTTTTGGTTTTTCGTTTTATTAGCTGGGTGGGCAAGGTGAAAATGTAATTTTGGGTAAGCCAGAGCTACTTTAGCTTTTAATCTGTAAACAATGTGACTCCTGTGCTGTGAGAAGGGGGCAGGACAGCTGGTGAGGGGCTGATGTGGCACTTTGCAAAGACAATATCCGAGTCTACAATCTTTGTAAGAAAAGTATGTTTGTTTCAATCTGAATCTTGACATTAAAGTATATGTTTACAAAATCACCAGTAAGTAAACTAAATGTGTAAGATAATTAAATAGAAAAAGCTATTCATGGTTGTTTTCTTCCATGTTCTCAGAATGTGTTGTTTCCGGTGGGCATGTTGGAAGTTCTAGTGTTCTTTAATAGGTCAGAAATATATGGCAAGTAGTGCGAGATCCTTTGTCAACAAGCATGGGGCCCACCATCAGCTACACTGATGTTTCCTGAGGTGTGCTACTGAGACAAAATAGTTTATTGTTGGGGTGTTCTGAAACAAAGACCATGAGCTCAGCACGGGTGGGGGGTGGGAGTGTCACACAGTCATGTGTTTGAAGGGCGTTGGGAAGCTGTGAGGAATGCATAAAGAGCAATAAACATGTGCCAAAGCTTGTCCTGCATAGGGATCTGACTCACGGATCATGTGAGTGCAGGAAACAAGCCCCATTGTATTTTCTAGTAGTAGCACTTTACCCACTGTGAATCCTCCCAATGTAACTTCTCACATTCACTCTGCAAATAAAGAGCTCGTGGGTACCTGAGCTGCACACTGGACTGTCTGTACTCAAGTGCTTCAGCAGGAATTGTGTGACACCGGGTTAAATCTGTGCAAAGATGCAGGCTGTGTGCTGCACACTTCTAGTTCTCAACAGGCAACCCCGTGGCCTCTTCTAGAGGGGCAGGTATGCAGGCAGGAACAAGGGCAGAAGGCCTGCCCTTCTGAAATCCACACTCTTCTTGGAACACAAGCTTTGGGGACCCTGTGGCAGGAAACCAGGCTTCACATGCCCTGGGTCCTGGCTTTGCTGTTCACATGCTGGGACCTAGGGCATGAGAGAGGCCTAGTGGAGGGCACCAGTGTGCCTGTCCAGCCAGGTGGCAGCCAGAGCTGCTCAGTGGAGATGCACTAGCTGCAATAAGTGGCTGTAATTGCATTTATTAGCTTGACAAGGCAGATGTGAACTATTTTCCATGACAAGATGGCCACATATCAGCACACATTAGACACCACAAGGAGTAAGAACCAATGACTTTAGAAACATTAGGCATGTTCTCCCCTGAAGCTACTGGTGTGGGAAGGCGGGAGACAAGGCCTCAAGCATTGTAATGGGGACAACAGGTGTGCCATATCCCTGCCCTGTTCAGCCCTGCCATGCTTGTGGCCTCTCCTGGAGGTGCAGCACATGACTGCCCCACCACCTACCCCATCCTCTGAAAACTCTCTAGGACACTTTTAATCCATGCATTTCCAGGTCCTGACAGGTTCCAAATGTTGGCTTGGGGGCCACGACTCCCCAGTCCTTGGACCTTACACAGCTACAGGGCAGATGAGACATATGCTGGCACATGGTGTATGTCAGGCAGCAGTGTGGGCACGGGTGTAGCCCTGGTGGGCTAGCTGTCGTACCAGTCAAGGAAGAGCAAGGAGAAGGAACACATCACGAGGAAGAAGAGGATCCACACTCTGAAGCCGGCATTGTTTTTGATGGCCTGGTGGGAGGAGCACAGGTGTCAGCATCACTCTTGACTGGTTGCAGAAGCCCTAGGCACCCCAATCTTCCATGAATCCCATGCTCTCCTTAGATAGGTGACTTAAGTAAGAACAGAAGTCACCATGCAGGAGACCTGACAGAGAACAATGCCTTGCATTTCATTTTTAAAATTACATTATCTCTGTGTGTGGGTAGGTTGGAATGCATGTCATGGTGTGTGTGTGTGGGGGGGGCAAAGTTAATTCTCTGCTTGTACCATGTGGATATCAGGGATCAAAATTAGGTTGTCCTGGTTGGCAGCAGGCACCTTTGCCCACTGAGCCCTTGCCTTTCATCCTCTTCTGCCCTAACCTCCTAGGACTCAACTGTCCAGGGACTACTCAGATCTGACCCAGGGCTCAGGTTTCCCAGGGATGTTCTTGTCTGTGGTGACAGCGGGCCAGCCTGGAGGTCTGGGCTTTAGAGACAGTTGGCTCACGGGGCCAAATGCCCTCTATAGACAGTTTATGGGCTCTTGCCCTCAGTGGTTTATCCTTGGCTTCAGATTGTCCTGGCCCTACCTGGACGCCCTCCCATCCACACTGTTCTTGCAGGGCCAGGAACTACTTTCTCTTGAGAATGAGCTGAAAATAAGCCAGCAGGTCTTATGAACACATGCTCATAGGCTGGCCCTAATGGTAAACCCATGACCACAACTGCAGGATTGGTCCTGAGTGATACACAGTATTCTCAGACAGCCTAACCAGTGAGACTCAGGCTGCTGGGAAACAGTGCTGGGCCAAATCAGACCCAAGAGCCCCAGATACCCACCTCTCGTATGTCTTCGTTGCCTTCCTTGATGTTTTCAGTTGCCCCCACGACTAACTGGTGAATGCTGTCAATCTCAGTTTCCTGTAGAAAGAGTGTCACATAAACCCAGCCATTCCCTCTTCCACCAAGAAGATACTCTTCTGCAAGTAGTTACTGCCATGTTTCAAGTGCTAAAGGCTGTACCTACATAGCCTGGGAATCCTCACCTGAGAGGTGGGTATCACTCAACACAAAGGAAAATTTATGGCTCAGAGATGTTTACTAGCCTATAGGAGACCACCCAGTATCTGAGTGGCAGGACTAGGATAAGGCTCTTGTTGGGCTGTGGAGTCTACACTGTTTGCTACCTATCACTTCTCCTGTGTCACTTATCAAGTGACAAGGACAAACATGACCTGCTGATTCTGGACTGGCCATTCCACCAAGGACTCACTTCCAGAATTTTATTTATTCTTTATAAGGTCTAGAAGCCAGCTTCAAAATGTTATAGGCTTTGAAACACACAAGCTACCCAAACAGCATATTTTAACACACTGCTATAGGGGTAAGAGTTAAAACAAGATATGAATTGCTGGCCGCAAATGTCCTGCGCAGATGCTGAGAGAACTTGGAAGTGGGGGTGCTGGTCGTGGCCATCCTATAGAAGACCCCACCATCAGCCATGTGTTACTGCCTTTGATCTCCCTGCGGAGGGGCAGGAAGGTATGCCCTAATGTGGGCTTTTATGGAACCCTGCCTGATAGACTGCTGCAGAATGGAAAGCAGGCTTCATCCACCTAGCTCTTAGCAGTGACATCACTGGGGTGCGCATGGACCAGGAGCTGAGGGGTTTGCCACAAACAGCTCCCAACATTGATAAAAAACAAGGTTTTGAGGCCTCAGCAGTGCAAGAGGCCCTTGGCTGGACTCTAGAGGGACACCAACCCCCTAAAGCACAACACCTCTCCTGGGGCAGCTCTCTTCTTTCAGTGGGACTGTTTGTCCAGGCCTCTGGTGCAGTTACTGCTGTGGCAGTTGGTCTCCCTTGGTAGAAGGCTGGGTACTGGAGCCTAAGAGATTGTGACTCCCTTTCCTACATGTGGCCAGTCATGGTATGCCACCAGAGTAGTATGTAGAAGACGCAATCCAGTGGCATGTATGGTGTTACTACAGCAGGGCACTACCTGGCTTGGTCAGAGTCCCACTAAAAGGCCTGCCATGGGCCAGGTAGGTCAGTGGTCCTACTTGTTGGTTTGGAGAGTGAGGCAGGGCTCACCAGCTCTACTTCTGACAGGAATGGGGCTTAGGAGAAGTACTGGCCACAGCATGCAGGGTGGAGCATCCAGACTGAAGCCTGATCTCCCTGCAAGCTGGGTGTTCAGACAAGGTGAGCTCTCCTCAAAGCAAGCTGCTAGGCCAGGAGGAGCTTGCCTTGGCCTCCTGTGTCATGCAGCAGACATGACCATCAAGCTGAGGTATCTGCACAAAGTCTGTTTCCAGGCTTCAGGGCCTCCACACACATGGCTTAGGTAGGTCTTTAAGAAATCTGTGAAGAGTACTTTACTTTTATGACCCTGAATTCCCAACTGTCATTAGCTTCTGCCTTGTGCATGTTGACTCATCTCTGTTGTGAAGTTCAGGACTTGTTTTGTGGGTGAGCCAACAGCCCAGAGGCAGAGAGAAGTATTTTTCCCAAAGTCTTCTACAGTTCATGGGTGCTAATCCTAAGGTCACCTGGAGCAGTCCTACCCCATCAGACTGTGTTCCCAAGGCAGCATGAACTGGCTGAGAGACTAATTTCTGGAGCATTGTGGATGGAAAGCAGCACTCCATTACACACTGTGCAGGGCTCGCCTGTGGTTATCTGTAAACGTCACAGCAGTCCTGTGTCTCACCCCTTCCTACAGACGGGGAGCAATTGTGTGGAGGGGTTACCTATCTCCCAGCCCTGGACTGCACCCTTCTACCTCCATCAGACACTTTAGCTCACAGGGGCCACTCTACTCTAAACTGGGTCCCCATATAGAGCCCTCCGCTGTATCACAGAGGGTTGCTTTACCTGGGACCTCAGAGCGGTGTGACTGGCTAACAAAACATGGTGCTGCCTAATCTGCACCACTCAGATGCTTCTGAGCTCTCAGTCAGTTCTAAGCCAAAACTCAAAACTGCTGGGCCTTTGGGTCTTTTTACCTGTTGCAAGACTTTTTCAGTGAATATCTCTTGGAGTCTGGAAATTTCAACAACTTTCCCTTCGATTTGCCTTCAAAAAAGAACCAATCGGTGACATGTTAGTTTTTAGCTCCTGGTAATCTAAGAGGAATGGTCCACATTCCTGAAGGAACCATCAAGGTGACAGCCATACCAGATGGGGTGGGTTGGGGTGGGGCATGGTGGGGCGGGGGATTTGGGGGAGCTGGGCAGGCACAGTAAGTCCTGAGCATAGCCTAGTTACTACTGCGTGATGCATGCTGGAGAATCAAAAGGCATGGTCACTTGGAAAGTCCATCTTCAAAAAAGTACATTTTCCTCTTAAGCCAGCTCTTTGTGGCAAGAAAATGCTCCAGTTTGGTGTGTGATGACCCCATCTGGTTTAACAACTAAGTGTTTGCCCAACTTGAAACATGGGGTGAGCCCTTTTCCTGCTTCTTGCAGCTTGGGGCACCCTGGGGTGGGCTGAGGCTGTGCGGATCTGAAAGTGGAAGCTGGCTGAGGCTGAAATTAACTGCTTCATCATAGCTGGTGACAAGTTAGTGGCAGGAGGAGAAAGGTGACATGAATGGGAAAGGCAGGCAGGAGACAGGAAGGAACAGTATCAGTCTTGGGGAAGACAGGGAGAGCTAGGCTGGGAAGAGAGAGGTCTTGGAGAGCCATTTTTGGGAAAAAACCCCTGGGACTGTCCAGGGGGAGTAGCCCTGCCCTGAATAAGTCCCCAGGCTGCATCCTGAATGGAACAGAGCTGTGCAAAGACCCAGCTGTTACTGTCAGAGCACTGCGATTCTCCTGTGGGAAAAAGGCCCTTGAGTGAGTTTACTGGTTGCTCCAGACACATGAGTGTGAGCCTGGGTACCTGGAAGCAGACACTACTAGAGCAGGCACCATCACAAGGTCCCTACTATATCTTATAGCCACTCCAACCAGGCAGCCCTGTTCTGGTAGGTGTGGTCCCACTTTTGGGGTGATCTGTCTTTAGCAATGCTCTTTCTGCAGCTGCAGCACCCATAAACCTGTTGCAACAGCCAGTCTCCTCCCACAGGCCCAGCCAGCTCTGTCCGGTTACATATGGATCCTTGAGTGCCACAGCAAATGGGAAAAGCCCCCAGTGTCTAGAAAAGCTGTCATCAAGCCATTATCTATATACACACCTCACTTCATCAAATAAGCTGTTCATTTCACCAATGAGCCGCTGATTTTCTTGTTCAAACTGCAAAGAAACACATGCATTCAGAATGACATCAAATGGAGCTCAAGAAGGGGCTATAAGAAACCTTTGATCTTCCACCCAGCTTCTAAGGATTACTGCCCAGTCCCATTGGCCAGCATAAGGCATTTCTAGAAGGTTATCTGAAAAATATCATACTCTAGGAAGAAAATTTAGCCTTCCCAAAACCAGCCATGCAGTGGTGGCTTGTAGAGCCCCTTCCATGTATGAACTCAGGAGCAGCTGATACTAGCTGCTGGATAGAGGGAGCTGGCTCAGCAGCTTCCAGACACCCTTTCTGCCAGGAGCCCCCTGCTGCCACCCATCTCTAGTGGCAACACTTTTAGACAGAACTTGGTGTGGGGAAGAATGCTGTGCAGCAGAGTCTGGCAGGCTACTTGGCCTGTGACAGGGACAGTTCTGTGAATCTTGAGAGCAATAGGGCCACCCTGCTGGCTAGAGGTATGTACTGTTGTCTTTTTCAGAATAAGCCCCAAGACTACTCCACTGACCTGTCTGTCCTAAAATGTTTTCTGTAGTGTTGAGTCTAGATCCTGGATGCACCTGAGCAGAAGGCTCAGAAAATAACCCTTCAGGCTACATGGCTGTCAGTGTTGAGCTGCTCTCTCTGTCCATGACACTAGTGGACTATTTTCCCACTGGCCTTGACTCGCCTGGCAGAAGAGACCTAAGAGCCTAAGGTACATGTTCTCTGTGAACCAGTCACTGCCCACCTCTGTGATGACAACCTCTGCCATTTCCAAAGGGCACAGGTGCATGCCACATCTCCCATCTCTTCTGACTGGCTAGGGACAACAGCATAGGCACTATGTTAAGGCCTGGCCACAGAGTAGATAGGGGCACTTTCTCTGGAGCATTTCTGCATGCAGCTTCACGGTGACATTTCTTTGTTTAGGGACCAACTTCTCTCAAGGGACAGAGCCACCTTTCTTCTTTAGTCCCTGAGCCCTGCATAGGCCCTGCTGCTCATCAGAACACTACCCATCAGATCAGAAAATGGGAACAGAGGAGAGATGGCAATGCTTTAGGGGGCAGATGATGGGGGGGGGCAGTTCCCAGAAGGACCACTTGAGCTGTAGCAGGCTGGATACAGCACTGCTAATGGTCTTTTCATTAAGCATCAAAGAGACCATGTAAGAGAATAAAATCTTTACTTCTGAATCTGAAAGTGTCAGCTGTTGCCTGTCCACTCAGCAGTGACTTAGGAGGCCAGTATTGCCTGAGAATGTGTAATTATTTCAGTTGTAGGTGCTAATTTACCTGCAGTAATTCCCTCAGGTATGCACGGGCTTATTTTCCAAGGAGGCATTTTTTTTTTCTCCTAATGATAAAATATGGTCCTGCCCTTTTAAATCTTGTCCTTAGTTACTTTGAAACTGTTCCTACACACAATTAACTATGAGTCTAGGAGACTTATTACTGGAATGTTGCCTGTGTTTGTTTCTGGTTTCCTCCAGTCCAGACATGAGGTACAGGGCCATATTGCTTCTCTAAGCCTTAGCAGCTGTTACTTATGAAATCATAACATGGGCTCCAGTGGCCAGGCAAAGGCACAGTTTCTGCTTCTGGTTTCCCTGAGCCCAGGGGTTCTGTATGCCATCACAGAAGTAACCAACCTCATAAGGAAAAGAGAAACAGATGCCTCAAGCCGTCCCATGTGGTAAGGGGTGAAGAGAGTACTGACAATGGTCGGGAATTTCAGTGGAGAGCAGCCACCACTACAGGGCATGTCAAAATGAAATGGAGTTAATAAAAACAAACAAACAGACAATGCCCCACCCCAAACTCTCTTCCCCTAAGTCAGTGGTTCTCAACCTTCCTAATGCTGTGAACCTTTAATACAGTTCCTCATAATGTGGTGACCCCCAACCATAAGATTATTTCATACTTCATAACTGTAATTTTGCTACTGTTATGAATCATAATGTAAATACCCGTGTTTTCTTGTGGTCTTAGGTGACCCCTGTGAAAGAGTTATTTGATGGGGAATGTACTGTATATGTTTATCTTATTGATTGTTAAATAAAATACTGTTTGGCCAATGAGACAGCAAGTTAGACGGAACTAGGAGTCAAAGAGGATTCTGGGAAATGTAGTAGAGAAGTGGTGATCCAGGCAGGAAGTGACATAGCAAGGAGACTCATATTTAAGCGAAGGAGGAACAGGAAGGGCCCCCTTTTTCCCCTCTGCTCCTGCTCCAGCGGCATGCGATCCACTGGCCAGGAGGGATGCCAATAAGGCGTCCGATAAGAGAAGTCTTATAAAATATATAGGTTTATGATAGTTAAGATGGAGCAAACATACGAGAATCCTAGTCATTGGCCAAGTAGCACTGTACCTAATACAAGTTTCTGTGTATTCATTTGGGCCTAACTTGGGCGGGCGGCTGGCGTAAAGCTCACACATGGCGGTGAGGCTCAGGAGGCTTTTGGCAGAAAGATTTATCATAACAGTTATTCAACCTCCAAAGGGTTGCAACCCACAGGTTGAGGACCACTGCCTTAAGCAAGTGCAAGGTCACCACTTACTGAAGTCTAACAGGGTCCAGACATGTGTGTTCATTGGCACTGGTTTCAAGGTGGTTTTCTGAATGGCAAGCTTGCCCCAAAGGTTAGGTGGCAGGGGCAGTTGGTCATATGGAAATCAGGCGTGAGGCCTCATGAAAATGGTTGGGTGGCCCTAGCTAGTCAATGGCTTCTCAATGGCCATCAGTTTCTTTGTAGACAGCTGTGAGCCTTATCCTTCCCTGACCCTGAGGTGTAAAGTCACAGCTGGAATCCAAGCTCTCCACCTTTGAAGCTGTATGTCTTTGGGCAGGTGAGTAATCCAATCACTGTCCTTTGGCCTTTGTCACCAAAATGGGGACAAAAGGACTTTGACAGTGAGGCCATTAAAATATGTATGCTGTCTACATGAGTAGTCTCTGGGAGACAGATTCCAGACAGGTAAAGTGAGTGGTGAGATGCCCAAAGGTCCCTTTCTCCTGTCTGACCTCAGATTCAACAGGGCAGCTGTGGCCCTTGGCTGTTTCACTCTATCAGGCTCTGGAAAATTCACAGATAGTCCATTCTAGGGTCAGTCTAATTGTGCAGTCATGCTGCTTCCTCACCTAAGTAGGGACTTGGCCAGGCCCAGGGCTAAACCAAAGTCCTGGTCTCTGTGGTCAGCACCATAGCAGGATGTCTATATGCCCAGAGATGCAACATGACCACAGTCTGAGAGATACTTATCACTTAATGTGCTATGTTTAGTTATGACTTCTCTCCTGAAAAGGCTCATGGTTGAATAAAGAGTTGCTTTCCAACTGGCACATCCAGCCATTGAGAGGTTATTGAATCATTAAGGCTTTGGCACAGTCATTGAATTATTCAGTGACTGATTCAAAATGATGAAAGATGTAGCTGAGGATGGGTCCAGCTGGCAGTAGTAGTTCATTAGGGGCATGTCCTTGGGGCAGCTAGAAGAGGAGCAGCTCTTTCCCACCATGCCCTTCTGCCTTGATGCGGTCTTACAATAGGCCCAGAGCAAATGGAGCCACTGACCACAGCCTGCACCCTCTGAAACCATGCACTCGAGTGAATCTTTCTGAGCTTGAGTAGCTTATCTCTGGTATTTATCACAGTGAAGAATGGCTGACAAGCAGCAGCATCCTTCTTCTCTTAGACAGGTTCATATGTATCCCATGCTGGCTTACAACTCTATGTATTTGAGCATCTTCCTGCTTTCACGTTACAAGTGCTGTGCCCTACAGGTGTGCCCTACCACCCCTGGTTTATCAGCATCACCCTAAGGATATAGGGCTTGAGATCCAGGGGACCCTGAAGAGGGGTCTATGACAAACCACACAGTGGGGCCTGCAATACTCCTTCCTGAATGAGGTTAAGTAACAACATAGGTGGAAGTGCTCAGGGCAGCCATGGTGACAGCACAGGGCAATAAGCAATAGCTCCCTTGGCCATCTTACTCTGTTACTGGTCAGCTAGATTTTCCAGTTGGGCTTTGTGAAAGGGCTTCTAATCTGGTTTAAAAGACACAAGTCCATTTGTAATAGCTTACTGTAGAAATCCTGTTTTTAATCTGACCCTCTTTGTTAAGTGTTACTTTTAAGGCCCCTGCATAGAAAATATGGCAGGGTAAATAAAGTACTCCTGTTTCAAGTCATCCAGAGAAGATAAGTGAGGACTTGGGACTCAAGACTCCCCAAAACCTATGTTCTTGACGCATGAACTATGCTGGGCCACAGTACGAAAGCTGTGCCAGCTGGCTGCCGGGTTCCATGAACTGCCTCAGGGGACATCTGCTACAGACACATTTCATACAGATCTAAGTAAGAGGTCAAACACATATCTTTCAAAGGTGACTTTACTTGAGTAAATTGAATGAGGCACATAAAAGTACAGTGGGCTCTAAAGGGGGGCAATTTTCTTGATGGTCCACATTAGAAAACAACTGAATTTCTCTTAGCCTTCCATAAAACCTCTGCTAACTCAAGGCCCTACCACCTGTATCATGACTTACACCTGGGGAGTGTCTGTACATATCAAGTAACATCCCAAAGCCATTTTGCAATGCCTAGCAACCATTTTCTTTGGCTAAAAGAATGAATTAAATTGCCACTATAGGGCTTAACTCATTATTTCACCCTGAGGGAAAGTTCCAAAACTAATTATGAACTATGACCACAATTTGCTAAAGTACTTTGCAATGTAAAGCCAACAATATAGTATTCTTTCCCATCGTTTCCAGGAGTTGTTTTTGTTTAATTTGGGTTAGTAAGACTTTACAACATGACACTCAGCAATTACTCCCAAATAAGAACATCATTAGCTGAACACTAAGTAGCCTGTTACAAAAGTTCATGACATCCTTCTGTCCCACCCACCTGCATCAACACAACACAAACTAGGAAACACTGCAGACTCTGATTGTATGTCACCAGCATTGTGGCTAAAATGCCAGTCTTTTTGGGAATGGTTTGGGTGGGGCAGAGGACATGAAAGCTGACACCAACTGTCTTGGGAGAGAGCCTCACATCCTGACATCATCTTCAGTTGTGTGGCAGGTGTGGGGGTTGTAAACTGTGCACAGGGCCTCCCTGGCTGTGCTGAGTGGCTCCCCACAGTTCTACAGGGCATCCATTCTAACCAGTGAGAGGTCCGCTAAGGCTCATTTGCTTCCTCGGACAATTAGTGAGAGGAAGAGGAGTATTCACAGCTGACTGCCTGGTCCTAGAGCCCTTGTTCTCCATCTCTCAGAAGGATTGTGCCATGGGATGGCAGACACCCAGTTATCCACTTCCTCAGGCCTACCTTCTACACTGCCTGTGGTTTTTTTTTTTTAGATTTTTAAAAAAAATTATGTATACACCATTCTGCCTCCATGTACGACTGCATGCCAGAAGAGAGCATCATAGTTGTGAGCCACTATGTGGTTGCTGGGAATTGAACTCAGGACCTCTGGAAGAGCATCCAGTGCTCTTAACCTCTGCCCTATTTTGACCATCTCCTTTATGAAGAATGATGGGACATAAAGGAGTGAGGTCCAACACAAATTTACATTCTGCTTACACTTGACAAAAGTGTCTTTTCTCAATGAAGAGAGTGGAAAGTACACATAATCATCTCTAGCAAATTTGCAACAATTGCAGCAATATAACTGATCATTTCCACTAGCAAAATTATTTTGTATAAACTGATGATAAATGACATGATTTTAAGACACTCCTGTTATTATCAGTTGTCAGAAGGGAATGCAATACAACTGTGTTGAAACTCATTTTTTTGGTTTTTACATGTCAGTCTGCTTCTAATGTAGTATTCCCAGGGAACACTCATGGCTCTGTTCCCTGTCCCTGTACACAGTGTTTCTCGAGGACCTCCTCTAAGCCCATGATACTCCAGCCCTAAGATGCTTCTAGGACCCTACGATGGCTCCTACCTGCCATATTCACAGCACTTCCAAGCTGTCTGACATAGAACTCATCAACTCCTGTTCTTCACTCCCTACTCCCCAATGTCCAGCTCCATGCTTGTCCTTCTGACTGCTCAAGTCATAAATCTCTCAAGTGTCTAGTCCTCTCACATTTGTCCTTCAAGGGATAACTCTCCATCATCAGCACCTGGAGGCAGCCATTATCGCTCTTGAGAGCTGTGAGAGGGCACAGAAGTTCCAGATAAAGGCAGGAGTAGACTGTAGTCAGCTGTGACTCCACAGTCCTTTCTTTTACCTTGGAGGCAGTGGCTCCTTGGGCTTCTGGCTGTTGGTTTTCACCTGTTTATGCTACTTTCTGGGAGGCAAACTTTATGTTTCAGCCTTTGTTTCAGGCAAGGAGAAGAAGGGAATTTGAAGAGTAAGAAACCCTGAGCCTTTCTTATCTTGCTCTCTTCTATTCTTCCCCCTACTCAACCTTCCTGTTCCCTCATGTCCTCCTCACCCCTCCTTTTCTCCCCTTCTCATTCTCCTAGCTCCTCTCCCCTGCCCCTATGCTCCCAATTTGCTCAGGAGATCTTGTCCCTTTCCCCTTCTCCAGGGGGCCATGTATGTCTCTCTAAGAGTCCTCTTTGCTTCCTAGCTTCTCTGGAGGTGTGAATTGTAGGCTGGTAATCCTTTGTATTATGTCTAAAATCCATATATGAGTGAGTACATACCATGTTTGTCTTTTTGTGACTGGGTTACCTCCAAAATAGAAGGAGACATTATAGGTTTAAAGAGACATCAGGCACTAGGGAAATATCTGGAGATCTACAAAGATGACACCAACTAACAATCTAAGAAACAGAGGAGAGGCTATCTTAAATGCCCTCCCCTGATAATAAGATTGGTGACTAACTTATATGCCACCCTACAGCCTTCATCCAGCAGCTGGTGGAAGTAGAAGCAGACACCCACAGCTAAACACTGAACTGGAATCCAGTTGCAGAGAAGGAGGAGTGGTGAGCAAAGGTTCCAGACCAGGCTGGTGAAACCCATAAAAAAGCTGACCTGAACAAGGGAGAGCTCTTGGTCCCCAGACTGATAGCTGGGAAACCAGCATGGGACTGATCCAGACCCCATGAATGTGCGTGTCACTGAGGAGACCTCAGAAATCTATGGGGCTTCTTGTAATAGATCAGTACTTATCCCTAGCATAGGAATGGACTTTGGGAGACCATTCCATATGGAGGGATACTCCCTGAGTCTAGACACATGGGGGTGGGCCTAGGCCCTATCCCAAAGACCCCCTCCCTGGGGAGCATAAAGGGTATGGGATAGGGAGGGTGTTGGGGGGGTAGGGAAGGAGGGGAGGGAGAGGGAACTGGGATTGACATGTAAAACAATATTGTTTCTAATTCAAATAAAAAAATGGAGAAAAAAAAAAGAAGCCCTGAGCCTATCTATCACCTGGGCTGGGCAGCTGTGGAAGACAGACAATATGGTCAGGCCCTCTGTACCACTCACAAGAACCCATCAATCACTTAGCTACTTAGCAGCACTCCTAATCACTGGCCGGGACTAAGACAGTGACAGTGAGCCAGGATCCTCCTCACATGGTGTTAGCACAGTAGAGAAGGTACAGAAGGAAGCAGGACACTGGGGTGGCTGGATGGTCAGAGAGGACTCAAGGAGGCTACACTGGAGACATGTCAGGAGTCAGAAAGCAGTGGCAATCACAAATGGCTTCCTGGAAGTCTGAGGGCTAAGCCAAGGCCAGAGCCCATCCTTACTAGACAAAAGGGCTTCTGTTCACCATTGCTCCTCTGTCTCCAGAGGCTGGGAACCCAGCTCCATTCTTATCAGCAGGGGCTTGCTGGCAAGGCCTTTCTTGCTCTTTGGCAAAGATAGGAGGAGGTGGTGAATACTGCAGGCCTGAAGAAGATCCAGGCAGATGAGTATAAAATGCTCACTGTCAATGGCTGTACAGTCAGGAGGCCACCATTTGGGAGGCTCTCACCAAAACTTTGTGCCTTGAAACCACTGAGATGACAAACAACAGCACTTAACACAGGGGACAGGTCACTAGGAGGAGGTGGTCACTGTCCTGATGGTTGCTCCTGCCATCCTTCAGTCATCATTATGTATTCCTATCACTTCCATGATACCAATGACTCAACTGAGTATAATCACCATTTTGGCGAATATAAAAGACTTATTTCATTTAATCTCGATGCCTACTATATTGGTAGGAAAGACACTTAGCAAGACCATCCAAGCTAACTTCTGTTTTACTATGCAACTGTGAACTGAAATCATGAAAATCCTAATAGGATGTAGGACATTAAGTGGGTAAGTGTATATAAAATGTGTTTATATTTTTAAAGCCCAGTATCAAATTAGGGCAAGGGCATTTGCACAACCTCACACTCACTGGCAGTCTTAGGGCAGGCAGCTGAAAGGAAGCAGTTAGCATTACCATCTGTATCTCTTCTGGAGACAGTTCATCTTCACCATTGCCATCACCCCAGGTTCCCAGTTCAGGTTGTGCTTCGGCCACTGGTTTTTCTGTTAAGAAACAAAACAGTAAGGTGGACAAAGATAGGAGGCCAGCTATTCCTTCAGAACAGGCAGCTGAAGAAACAGGCACATGAAGACACCAGAAGGAGTGGGGTTCTGTAGCATGGTCCATATTGAACATTAGCTAATGTGCAGTAGAGGCTCCATGTCCCAGCTCACACAGTATGAAGGCTTTCTCTAGGACAGCCATATATCCCAGAATGTGAACATTTTAATTTAGATGCCTTTTGTTCATGATGAGGCAAGCACACAATGACCCCTCATTAGCACAGGTGCCTAGAAAGAACTGTTGCCCAGTGCAATGGGTACAGCTTGCACACTGCAGTAGGGCTGGAGGATGGGAGGTAAGGACTGCTCAGTGGAGACTGGGACAAATCTGTCCCCAAAGGTGAATCTAGTTCTGCGTGTCTCAGTGTCCCTGGGCTCCATCACTGTTTTTCCAGGGATTCGGGCAAATCCTGCATCTTTTTCCTTTCTCCTCAGCCCCAGGAAATTCTTGCTGAGCTTAGGCCTGTGGGGAAGTGAGAGTTCAGGATGTTTTGATTGGGAAAAGCACATCACAATAGCAGCAAAGAGAAGGCAGATTGGGCCCACCCTGTGTGACAGGCACAGCTCTTTTAGAAAGGCATCTTCCCAAACAGTCACCTACACCTCAGTGCAGGTGAAACAGACTACAGACAAGGAAAATCACATCCATATCACAGAGTGTCATCAGGCAGAGTGGCACTGTTCTTAGACAATACTCTGGGTGTGAACCCATATGCTTTCACCCATCACTCATACCCCTGTGACTTCTATCTCCTACTTGGCTTCAATATGGTTCCTATTTCAGATTTTTCTTCCCTCTCCCCTTTGAATATAAAAAAGAATCAGAAACATAAGCCCATCATAATGGATCCAAGTATGAATTAGCTGCATCAGGATGCAGAAGTCCTGTACTCTACAGGTGTTCAACTGTATGCCACCTGAAGCCCTCCTGACCTGGGCCTCAGGACTCAGCTGAAACACAGTGCTCACAGCATACTGTGCCAACCAGTCAGATCCAGATGGCCCACCTGCATTCCAGGCATTCTGTGGTCTAGCCACAGCCAGCCTCTGCAACCATATTTCCTACAACTCCTCACTAACCGCAAGGGTTTTCTTTAGTGACTACATTCCACATAAGCCTCAATGATGTCTGGCCTCTTGAGTGTTTTCTTGCTCTAACTGTTCCTATCACCTAGAAGTTTCTAAGCTTTATGGGGGGGGGGCTGCTGACTCACTTGCTCAGGGTTACCTCTCTCTGAGGTCCACAGGACCCTTTGTCTGTCCCCACTTCTGTTTTTCCTAGGACACTACTTCCTCCCTCCCTCCCAGGAGCTGGAATCCTATCCTCCCTGGCAACAGTGAACTTCACAGGGGCAGGAATGACTCACTTGAGAAATATATCTGAACACCCAAAACCCAAGACGGGCAAACATCTTACCACAGAGACATGAAGAATTCAGCCTTGCCAGGCAGAATATCTACAGAAAAGGACTTAATGCTGGGGGTGGCAGGCCAACCAGTAGAGGTGTGAACCTGCTGACTAAATGAGAAAGATAAAAGGCAGAAGGAGTATGACAGACAAGAGACCAACTCTTTCCTAGAACTGTACTAACTTGTTCTGTGTCAGACCATGCTTGCCTAAGTGGTATCTCAGGTTTCAAAAGGAAATAGATACTGAAAGACAAAGTAAGCAAAGGACACATCTACATGGGCTAGGTTGAAGTGTTACCCACAGAAAATCTAGCAGATATCCACACATAGGAAGAAACAGTCTCTATTGCCATGGAGGAAAGGGCAGACACACAGCATGGGAAGGAGAGCACCTGGCTGTAGGGGAAGACTTTCCCCGTCAGCACCAAGGCTGGTATGGAAAGAAGGGCCTAGCCAGGAAAACAGACAGCACATGGAAGTCGGATGCAGGCCTCTCCCTGAACAGCCTGCCCTGCTCATCCCACTCTATCATCTCTTCAGAGGTACACTCAGGCCATGGTTCCAAGCTGTCAATTTCCCAGGATCCCCCAAGCTCCTGTCCCTAAGCTCTCTCTGCTCACTCCAACATCAACACTATTTCCACCTGCACACCCAGCAGGCACCTCAGGCCCACTCAGGCCTATCCAAGTAGACCAGTATGTGGAGTCCCTTCCCCCACTGTGCTGCCAGATTGCACATCGAGCTGTACTCATCTCAGGCAGCAATGCCACTTCCACCAGCTCTTCAGCCTCAAGGCTGGAGGTTACCAAGTGCTCCCATCCCACCCACTCACAGTTGCTACCTAATGGGTGACCTCAGACTCCAAATGTGACCTGAGCACTACTCACTCTGCTCAATGTGAGTTTAAGTGTAAATGTGGAGTGGTCCCTGGTAGCAGATGTCTTGTGTCTTGGTTGCTTCAAGAGATTCCTGTCCAGTCTACCAGCTTCCACACCACCTCTCAGCTGTTTCCGGGCTTTTCAGATATAAGCCATATACCATGCACACTCCAGCTCTGGAATGCCCAGTATATATTTCTACCATGCTGAGGTCCAAACTCTACCTCAGCATGAGGGCTGTATGGGTATCCTCCCACCTCCCAGCAAACCAGGTTGCCTTTTCCATGCTACCCTCTCTGGAGATGTCATGTGCTTCCAGATCACTGGTGATGCTGGGTCCTCTTAAAGTACTTATCTGTGATGGGTAGACAGATGTTCCTTTAAGGAACTGCCGTTCATTGCGTGTTGTTTTTTGGGTTTTGCATTTGTGTGTGTGTGTGTGTCTTGTGTTTTTTATTTTTTATTTTTGGCTTTCTGAGACAGGGTTTCTCTGTGCAACATCTAGAACTTGCTTAGTAGACCAGATTTGCCCTAATCTCATAGAGATCCACCTGCCTCTTCCTCCCAAGTGCTGGGATTACAGGTGTGTGCCACCACCACCTGACTTGTCTTCTATTTTCAAAAATCAATGTTTTTGTTTGTTTGTTTGCCTGTTTGTTTTCTAAAGACACACAGAGAGAAAGGGTATGGTGTTGGGTGGGTGAGCAGAAGCTGGGAGGAGTTGGGGAAAGGGGAACCATGATCAGAGTATATTGTATGAACATTTTTTTTTCAATTATAAAAGAAAAGAAACTGCCATTCAGATCCTTTGCCCACTTTTCAACTTTCAATTGAGAGGTCTATCTGTGTCCTGCAGGTAGATGAAGTCCCTCATCAGGCATGTGGTACAGTGTACATTCTGTGGGCTGTCTTTGCACTTTCTTGGTGGTATTCTTTGAATAGTAAGCTCCAGCAACTAGTGCTCATCTCCTTGCTTCCATGTTTAAGCAGGCAGAACAAATGCTAGCATGGATGTGAGTGCTGGGGCCCAGGTGCTTCCACATCACATGTTCTTCGTCTCCTGCACACTGCTCAGAATACTCACAGCTCAACCAGTTAGAAGACCACCTGATCATGCAGACTCTAAGGCAGAGCACTAGAACAATACTGCTTTCCTCACACTCACAGACCAATGGGAGGGTGTCGGTATATGGACCTTGCTTGCTCCCCAATGAGCCCAAAGAAGAGCCACTTACTCTCACTATGACATCCCTCACACCCAGCCCAAGGCCTAGCACAACATGCAATGTAGGCTTGAGGTATCTTCTGATGAGATTTTCTCTAGGTCCTTAGTCGGCACTGGCTTTTCCGGCTCTCACCAGCCTGCCTAGGGTTTACTGAGTGGGTGAATGACTGAATGTGGATGCTGTGTTCAGCTTTAGTAAATTTAGTTATGATGCTCCTGTCTTGTCTTCTAGGAAACTAAGCCCATGGGACTGTGGGGAAGCCTGAGGCAGGCACAGGAGACATGCAGAACCCCTGCCTGCTGAACCACAGCAGCTACCAGGCAGAAATAGGCTGAGGCTGTGCAAACAGAACCACCCACATGGAGGGCTGCTGTGCTTCCTCAGTGCTGGGCTTCTTCTCTTACATAATCTCTCTGAATGCTGCTGGCTTCCTCACCTATAAAACACAATAGCGCACACCCCCAAAGATCCAACAGGGTCTGACCTGTGACTCAGTCAGCACGTGTAGCACAGCAAAGAGCTCCAAAAATGCTGTTGTCATTGTACAAAGGACCTCTGGAATCCTCCAGGCTGGTGAACCATGGTGCATGTGAAATACTTGTGAAATGCAGGGAATCATGAAGTAGAGGTGAGCTTGAGAACCAAACCCATATACCAGTGAATCCTGGACCCACCATATATGAGCTTTCACCTCAGACAAATAGTCCAGACTCTGAGTCTTTCAGAGTCCTCTCAATAAAAGAGACTCATGACACTCCAGTTGTTACAGTGAGGCAAGGTACTGCAGAACTACGGACACGGCAAAGAAGACATTCAGGCCTCACAGCTTCAGTGAGCTGCCAGGTAGTGAAAGCAGCTTGTTTGCTAATTGTACTCAGGGATGCAGTGCTCTGAGTAGGGGCACGTGGACTGCACACATAATGAAGCAGTCCGTGACATTGAGATCTGAAGGAGACTGCACTTCTTTGGCATGCACCATCAGGAACATTACTGTGATGACAAGAAACACAAATTCATACTTGCAGCTTGGGCTTCCTGGCTGTCTAGGCCCCTGAGAAAGCATGCTCTGCCCTGGGGCAATGCGGCTGCCAGCTGCCAGTGCAGACTTCCACTGTGGAGGGTTACACCTTTCTTTAGCAGACAGCATGGATAGTGCCTCCTCAGTCTCCAGCTGATACACAGGAAAGTAGCCCTTCTTCAGGTCCAGGTGAACACAGGACTCCTCAGCCCGAACACTGCCACTCCATGTTTCTTTTGCTTGGGGCAGCTATGCTGACACCATGGGTCAGGAACTGTTGCCTTTCCCTGCTTTGTATTCCTGCCAATAAGTCAGAAGGAAGAAGTGCAAAGCAAAACTTTTATACTGATTCATACCTGGAAGCTCCTCGGCAGCAGACTTTTCTTCAGAGTCCTGGGAAGCAGTCTGTGAGGCTTTCTCAGATGGGGGTTCTTTCCTCTTTGTATTTGGCTCAGGTTCCAGCTTAGATCTAAATACAAATACTTAGCAGTTATTTATTTTGCCTTCAAAACAGGACTCTTTTCTGACAACAGAAAGGGTCATGCATTACTTGTGCATTTTTGCCCTGGTCTCTCTACTGGGGCCCATGAGTTACACGGACACAACATACCATACATACCATGTTGATGGTACACTGCTTTTGCACTCCAGCCACAGCATGGTGCCTAGCATCTGCATACACTGAAGTTGCCCTGGAGACACCACACCAGAAAGTGATGTATAGTAATCCAGTGATTCTACACTAATGCAAAAGTATTGCCAAAACACAGGCATGGGACATGGACACACGGACACACGGACAGACATGGACACACACACACACACACACACACACACACACACACACACACACACACACACACACACACACAGGTATGTGTGCTATCTTGAAATAGTTGAGCCAGAAGTCTCACACTTAGTTTTCTTTCCATCTTTCTATATACTTCTCTGCCCATGATGTGTTCTCCTTTTCTACCCATAGGGTTCATATTTGTCTCTGCTACCTAGAGGTCTCCCCAGGCTTTTTTTTTTTTGAATATTTTTATTATTCATTAGTGTGTATGCACATGAGTGTCTGCAGGACACTTGGAGGTCAGAAGACAGCTTCTGTAAGTAAGTCTTCTCTTTTCCCTTTGCTGAGGCCGGGTCCCTCTCATTTCTCTGGGAGCGTCCAGGTGACTTCCCTGTCTCCACCTCCCATCTCACTGCAGAAGGATTGAGACTACAGAAGTGTGCAGGGCATCTGTTGTTTGTTTGGATGTTTGTTTTGGTTCTAAACATGGGTTCTTAGGATCAAACTGAGGCTATTAGGTTTGTTCAGAAATGCTTTTACCTGCTAAGCCATCTCATTGAACTATGCGTGTGTGTGTGTGTGTGTGTGTGTGTGTGTGTGTGTGTGTTGTGCACAAGTGACTCCACCCATATGTGCATGTTTAGAGGTCAGAGGTCAATACTGGGAGTTTTTCTCTGGAATTTTCTACCTTATTTTTATTGTTTTTAATCTTGTTCTCATTTTGTAGCTCTGGCTGGCCTGGAACTCACTATGTAGACCAGGCTGGCCTCAATATCATAAGAGATCTGCCTGCCTCTGCCTCCTGAGTGCTAGGATTAAGGGTGTATGCCACCACACCTGGCTCCCACTAATTATTTGAGACAGGGTCTCTCACTGAACTAGAGTTCACTGTTTCAGCTAGACTGGCTGGCCAGTGAACCCCAGGAACTACCAGTCTCTGCTTCAGGTGCTGAGGTTTACAGGTGAGCACTACCATGCCTAGATTGTACATGGGTGCTGGGGACCTGAACTCAGGTTCTTACACTTGTACAAACACTTCACCCCCAAGCCACCTGTCCAGGCCCTGGCTTGCATAGCAAGTTCTCTCCTATTTCTCTGCATGCACCTCTTCCTCCTTTGAGTGGGTCTGTGTTTTTGTGAGTTGTGAGTGCTACTTAGCTGGATTAGTACCTGCATGTAGTGTCTGTTGTGATCTGCAAAGGTTGAGGTCCAGTGTATGGCTTTACTGAGTGAAGTTTTATGAGGCAGAAAGGTCCCTGGGGATGTGCTCTTGACGTGGCCACTGGGATCCTGGACCTTTCTTTTTCTTTGTTCTCCAACTGTGGTGCCATGAGGTAAACAGGTTTCTTTTGTCATGTGCTCCTGTCATGTATGTGACACCAGGGCCAAGTAATCATGAGCCAAGCCAAAACCTCTAAAACTGTGACCCCAACAGACTTTCTTCTTCTGACTCCTCTCTTCATTTTAATTATTGGAGTCAAAGTTTTACTATGTAGTCCTGGCTAGCATGGAACTTGCTATGGGACCAGGGTGGCCTTGAACTCACAGAGTCCTGCCTGCTCCTGTCACCTGAGTGTTCAGATTAAAGGTTTGTGACACCATGACTGACTTCTTTTTAAGGTGACTGTCACAGGTGTTTTGCCAGAGTGATAGGAATTTAACTAACACAGTGCTCAATAAAAAAATGTGTTGAATGAATGAATGTTTTATAAACACGAGCAAATGGCTAACAGAAGAGAAAAACTCATCCTAAAATAATGTGCTTTAGAGCCAAGCAGACTTGGCTGTATGCATGACTGTAATCCTAGAACTTAAACAGGCAGAAGGATTGCTGCCACAAGTTTTATGACAACCTAGGTTACAATATGAAAACAAAAGAATCAATCAATCAATCACCAAAATAAAATAATAGGCATCATAATAGCTTTACCAAAACCTAAATGAAAATTACAGGAAGGGTGCTAAAAAGATCTATGATGCAGTTCATGCTGTTGGCTAGCAAGACTGTGAGTAAAAGAATACAATCAACTTGTACTGGCTGGATCTGGTTTACACTTAGTATTTGCCAAGGACCTAGGATGTACTAAGTACTTCTCTAAGCACCTTATGAGGATAAATGTAGACAAATTCACCCAACTTCCAAACATCTAAGAAGTTAAGAAGTTACTAGTATTGAATGACTTTTTTTTTTTTTTTTTTATAAAGAAGGAAACTGAGGCCACATAGTAGCTAGGCTGAGGTAAGACCTCAGGGTCCCAGCTCCTGAGTCCATGTTGTGTCATCATTAACAGAACAACTGGGTATTTGTATAGAATAGATAATCATTAATGCCATTCAGATCCTGACTAGGCAGAGCACAGAGGAGGCAGACAACTATCTACAGCAGAGACGTCACAAAGGGCTTATGTCAGGACACAGAAAGAACTCCTACAAAAATTAACAAAACGCAAATGATTCAATAACAAAGTGGAAACTTGAATAGATACTCTGGAGGAAATACAGAAATCATCTATAAACACACAGTTGATTTAACACAAACCCAAGCCACAGTGAGATGACTGCACACACCCACAGGGGAAGAGTTAAAATGTTTGATCCACACTACATCCCCGGGAGAATGAGGACAAGTCAGAGCCTCACATAGCTAGATGGTGTGTAAAATGTTGTTACCATCATGGAAAACTTGGAACAGTTTCTTATTAAATCTAAGAGTGTTTCAACTGTAACAGAGCACCCCCCCCCCCTTTGAGGCATTTACCAAAGAGAAAGGAAAAGGTATGTCCACACGAAATGGAAACTGTCAAGTAGTCACAGAAGACTAACTCATACAAGAAAAGCAGGTAAACAACCCCATGCCAACCAACACGAGAGTAGGTAAGGCAATGGTGTGTGTTCACACACAGCACGATACTACTCAACAGTGGAAAGCAAATCACGAACACAGCAGCATGCTTAATCTTTTTAAAATGTGCTAAGAGGGCTCAGGGCACAGTACTCACTGAGCATGCTTAAGGCCCTGGGCTTGATCCCAATACTGTAACAATAAACTCAAAAGAAACCTTTTAGAAACAAACAGGGCTCAGTATGTATTTAGCACTAAGTGTATTAATATAATTATGAAATAAAATAGTGGTTAATATTTTGGGTCAAATTAGTGTTGGAATTTAGTAATTGAGTAGCTTGACACATTAGACAATTTTCGAACTAGCCTAAAAAAATATACCCATCAATCAGAATTTTCAGTTTTTCCTTCTGTTTAGTAAGTGACAAGTGTCTTGACATTTCTTGGTCTGATTTCTCATCTGTAAAATGGGGCTACAAGAGTGTCCTCATGTGGTCACTGGTTTCTCTGGGATGCTTAATTAGCAGAGTCAACAGCATACAACCAAAGTTGCAGATCATCTGTTCCACAGCTTTACTGCTACAGTGCTAGTGAGGAACAAGAATGGAACCTGAGACAGGTTATTAGCTGGATATTTATTGGGAAATATATACTCACACCGGGAATCATTAACCAGATTTGGCACCTGAGAAGTCTGGTCCCAGATGCTTCCCAAAGCTGGCTGAACCCTGAGAGTGAGCGTGCCCGGCTCCTCCTTGCCCTTTATCCTATGCCCTTCTACGTACCATGAGTGAAGCAGCCTGGTCTCACAGAGGAAGTCCTAAGACAGTGCATCCAATTGTCCTTGATGCTTTTCTCCTTGTGGAGACAGAATCCTCACAGAAGCAACTATGGGAAAGGACTGACTCTGGCCCAGGGTTCAGGGGATACAGCCAATCATGATAGGGAGGCCTCAGTAGTGCAAGCAGCTCAAGGCTGTGGTAGTGGAGACACAAGACTGTAGATTACACCCCTGTGGCTATCATGAGCAAAAAGACTGCTGGAAGCCTAGGCTGGCCTGTAACAACTCCTAAGTCTGCCCATCAGCTAGACCTCATCTCCTAAAGGTTCCACAGCCTCCCAAAACAGGGTCACTAGCTGGGTACTAAGTTCAAACACATGAGCCTGCAGGGAATGTTTCAGATTCAAAATATATCACAGACCAATGAGTCAGAGAGGAACTCTAACAATCCAGAATATCCCTAAAAATGCTGAGAAGGGCACACTGAATAGAGCCAGCCAACTGCTGGCTCACAAGTTGCTGATCTCTAGGCTGGAGCTACCGAAGGGACAAGTGTGAAGTATCCTGAAAATCAGCCAGAGACAGGTCTGGTGTGGGATCCTGTTGGGACCTTCCTTTGGGTTATGCTGCTAAGCAAACACTAACTCCATAGATTACCCGAGGTGGCAGTCTACCACACAATACCACAAATCCCAGTTTACGAGTCTGGGTCCTAACATACATACATACATACATACATACATACATACATACATACATACATACACACACACACACACACACACACACACACACACACACACACACACACATATATGTATGGATTTAATTCTAGACTACCCCTACCCCTCCTTACTTGCTGTGTGAGATTGTGGATATGTTTTAATTCTCATCATCTATAAAATGGGGAAAACCCTGCTTCTATCCAAGGTACTTTAAAGATGAAATGAGATCACCTAGTAGGAAGTACCTAGTACCCAGCTCCCACCTATTTCCTTATTTATAAAGCCACTTTCATTAGTTTTCACCCCAACCTCCAACCCAGGGCTCATT